GCTCTTATTATGACTGGAGAGGCGAAGCCTAATTGATCAAATATCTGTGCTACTTCTGAGAGGACGAGACGTTTCGAGAATCGTTTGGAGGGAGCAGACGAGATTGTTGAGAAGTCGAACACATCCTGTTGAGGTGACCATCGAATACCAAGGATTTTGGTATCACAGTCATCGAATGAGATGCCTGAGGTCTCGCTAAGCTCAGACGAGACCTCTCTCAACAGTTGCTGAGAAGTAGAGTGCCACTTGGCCAGCGGGAATCCGCCCGCATGGCAGAGCCGTATGAGTTGGTGAGCAGTCTCTACGAGCTGTTCCACTGTATTGGATCCTCCGAAGATGTCATCCACGTAACAAACGTGAGTGATTAGTTTCACAGCAAGAGGATAATGAGAGCCTTCATTTTCAGCGAGCTGAAGCAGCGTTCTTACAGCTAGCATCGGTGCTGACTTAGTTCCATAGGTTACTGTGGTGAGCTGAAAATTAGATTCAACATGCTGTTCGTTCACCCACACGATACGTTGAAGATTCTGGTCATCTGGGTGTATCTTGATTTGCCGGTACATCTTTGTGATGTCAGTCGCAAACAGATACTTAAGTTGGCGTATCCAAATGAGCAAGTCGAAGATGTTAAGCATCAGATTAGGACCAGCGTGCATGATGTCATTAAGCGAGTGACCAGTGGAGCTGGTGCTTGAACTGTTGAAAACAACTCTGAGCTTCGTGGTTGAGCTGTCTGGCTTAAGCACCCCATGATGAGGCAGATAGTAGTGTGGCCTTCTACCAACTGAGCTGTCATCGAGCTTGAGCATGTGTTGAGCTTGTTCATACTCTCGCATGAACTGAGTGTACAATCAGTCGTATTGAGTGTCTCTGCCAAGTCGCCTGAGAATTCGTTGAAGCGATCGATGAGATGTCTGATAAGAATCTCCTAGGACTGTTGGGGGTGACTTGAGCGGTATCCTGACGATGTAGCGCCCTGTCGAGTCCCTTGAATGAGTGGTCTTGAAGTGGAGCTCACACTCCTGCTCCTCAGGAGTGAGCGATGAGATGTCCGATGATGGAGGTTCTTCTTGGACCCAAAACCGTGTCAAAAACTCTTGCAAGGATGAGTTTGATGCCTGAGAGCTGCCATGATGAGTCGTCCTTGCTAGTGTGACAGGTGCCTGAATTGGGCTAATTACCAGCCGCCCAAAGATGGACAACTGAGCAATGGGAGATCTATCTGAGTGCCTAATAATGTTAGGCCTGATGAGTTGGTTGTAGAAGTCTGCTCCGACTATAACCTCTACTGCCCTTGGGATGAGAAACTCTGGATCAGCGAGATTTAAACCCTTCAGATGAGGCCATTCGGGTTCCTGTTGTATCTTTATGGCCGGCAGGATAGTGGTAACTGTCTTGAGTACGTGAGCTGAAATTGTCACTGTGAGTGGTCTATACTTTGATTGAAGGTTGAGCGTGACAATTCCTCTTGTTTGAGAAGTCCGTTTTCCGCCGACACCATAAACGTCCAGCCTTTCGTGCCTTCGTTCAAGATTGAGCTGCTGGGTTAGACTTTCTGAGACGAACGAGATTTCTGATCCAGGGTCAATGAGCACACGAACTTGAACTGATGTTGTTGCTGAGACGTCTATCGCTGTCGCTGTGGCCAGCAATGTGAGATGACTGGGATGCGCTGAGCTTGACATCGGGTGATCGCAACTCTCAACGAGCTGCCCTGAGCTTCATGCTTGAGAAAACTTTTCTGAGGGAGCGGGTGCATCCGCCACCTCCTGAGCGGTCTGAGCCACATCTCTTGGTAGACCGAAGATGGTTGAGAGGTCAGCACCATGCAACAAGGTATGATGGAAGTCGATGCACGTCTTGCAATGCCGTCGGCTGTTGAACTTCCTCAGATTGTGCCTGCCTAGGCAATTGCAGCATAGGCTCCTCTCCTTGATCAACCTCACCCTTTGGTTGACCGAGTAGCCTCGCATTCTTGGGCAGATCGCGATGTAGTGATCTTGCCCACAACAGTCACACGGATATACTGTCCGGGACTGAGCTGGATGAGAAGTCTGATGAGCTACCGACCTTGCTGAGCTGGCTGGAGGCTGTTGAGACGCCTGATGTGAGCCTGCCCGAGTAGTCATAGTCCCTTTCTGCACATTGGATTGAGCTGGCGTAGATGAGGCTTCTATGGTCTCCAATGTGCGAGCACGAGCGACCAGAAATTTGGTGAGCTGGCTGAGTGTCGGAAATTCATCGGTCGATGCAAGAGATGTCTCCCACCTCTCGCGAGTGTTTCGATCGAGCAGTCCAGTGAGGAGAGTGTCCATAAGGCAATCGTTATTGCTCTACACTGTGAGTGTTTTGAGTTCCTGAGTGGTCTCATTAATGATGGTAACCATTTTTGTCAGCGAGGTGGCTTGGCGCTTCTGCATCGGTTTGAGGTTGAGCAGCCTTTCTAGATGTGACTTGATAATAAGGCGTTTGTTCTTAAACCTTGAATTGAGTAGTGTCAACGCCTGATCATAGGAGGAGTCGTCTGGAGTAATGTTCGCGATGAGCTCGTAGGCCTCTTGAAGAAAAATTGCCGGTAGTAAAGGGATAAGATCTTCTGGTTTTTCGCTAATATACGTCAATGGGCGTGAATTAATAATCAGCTTCAGCGTCACAGAGCACAGTACTAATCCCTTCATACGACAAGTACGCCTTGCCCAAAATCTTGCGCAGAATCTGCTTTAAAACTCCGATAAGCCTTTCCCACCACCCTCCCACCAAGGAACTGATGGCGGATTAAAATACCACTCAATTTCTTTTGTCAAACTAAATTTCATTATTTTCTGCCAATCGAGGCTACTTAATGCGTTTTTTGCTCCAACAAAATTCGTACCGTTTTCCGAATATATCATTCTCGGCCGGCCTTGTCAGGCTATAAAACGACGCAACACTTCTAAAACCCCCGTAGCTGCTAAGCTAGTAGTTAACTCAAGATGTACCGCTCTGTAAATAACACAAGTAAATATACATATCCATGCTTTCCCACAATCGCGCAAAAATAATGGACCGGCGAAATCCACGCCCACAACCTCAAAAATCGCCGCATCTCTAACTCTATTTTCCGGTAAAGCTGGTGTATCGCATGCCATCCTTTTTGATTTTGGCTTGTTACACGTCACGCATTTCGATATCATTTTCCGAATTTCTTTTCGTAAAGAAATTATCCAAAAACGTTCGCTTAGATTACTCATAATTACAAGAGCGCCAACATGACCAAGTCTCTCATGACTTTCTCTGATTAGCATTTTGACTATTTCGTTATTACTATCTAGTAGAATAGGGCATCTAAACAATTCGCTATCTTTACGATTAAAAATTTTAGTTTTTACTACAATCAAATCATCTTTGTTCAAAAACGTGCTAAAAGAAGATAATTTTTCTTTACCTTTCTCATTAGAGAACATATTGGCGTGCAAATACTTTAGTACTTTCGTCTCGGCATTTCTAATTTCTTTAAACGATAATCTTAAGTTTTTTCGCTCACCCTTGTCCGTATACGATATTTTTTCCGGTTCGCACCCGTCTTTTAAAAATTTTTTATTTTGAAGCAAGATTCTACGGGCTTGAAAAACCGTTATATCCACGCGAAAAAACGTAGAAATTTACTGCAGGAAGAGAAATATTCCGTTGCTTCGAAACTCGCGTCTTCAAGACTTACCATGTGCGTCAAACACGATTTTTTACATTCAGTACAAACTTCGTCCTCGTTAATATTTGCCCTTGATGTTGGCCAATAAGATTCCGTGTTGTAAAGCCAATCGGGCCCTAGCCACCACTTTGATTCTAACAATTGCGACGAGCTACAACCGCGAGACGGCAAGTCTGCCGGGTTTTGATCACTCTGTATATACTTCCAGTCCTCTATTTTACTAAACTTGCGTATTTCATTGACACGATTCCACACGAAATTGCCCCATTGCATGACCCGGCCTATCCATGCTAATACCGTCGTGGAGTCCGTCCAATAATATGTTTTTAAAACAGCTCTAGTCAAAGACTCACGCACGCTATTTGCGAGTCTCACGGCTATCGTCGCGGCCATCAATTCAAGTCGAGGAATCGTACACCTTTTCGGATCCAATCGCGCCTTGGCATTTAGAAGCGAAACTGACACCCTACCGTCGAGTTCAACTCGTGCGAAAACAGCAGCTGCGTAAGCTGATCCGCCCGCGTCTCCGAAAACGTGCAAGGTTAAATAGCCCTTACCAATACCTCGCGGAATCTCTAAATTTTTTAACGAAATTAAGTCGTTTTTCCACGATAAAAATTCTTCCCTCGCTTGTCTCACAATTTCGACGTCCCAATCGATTTTCTTTAGCCAAATTTTAAAAGCCTTTTGTAAAATTAACTTAGTCTGTAAGGAAACAGGGCACGTTATGCCGATCGGGTCAAAAATTTTGTGAGTTGCAGATAAAGTAATTCGCTTTGTAGTCGAATTTTGAGCCTCCATATCTAACACTGCGGGATTGACCGACAAAGTGTCCCTCTTTTTATTCCACTGTATGCCTAAGACCAAGGTCGATTGACTTACCGCCGAATCACCTGTACTTTCCCAGCCTCTTAGTTCAAAACCGGCAGCTAAAATTACTGCAGTAGATTCTTGAATAAATGTTTCCAACTCGTCAAAACAATCTACGCTAGCTACACAGTTATCTACATAAAATGAACTTTTTAATTTGTTTATTGTTTCTTTTAATCAACGCAAATTAGAATTTTCTTGTTTGTCTATTAAGGCTGACGATAAATGCAATTCAATAATAGCTGCTAATAAAAATGGGCTACAAAAGAGACCGAAAACTACTCGGCAGTGTCTGTAAATAACTGTTTCGCCCTTTTCTACCCATTAAAAACGTAAATAATCGCGATCTTGATTATTTAAGGAAATCTGTAAAAAGGCTTTCCTTATGTCCGAAACAACACCCAGTTGGCCCTCGCGAAATCTATTTAAATTCGAAGGAATAAACTCGATTAAGTTTGGTCCTTTTTCTAAACAACTATTTAACGACGGAAAACCGTCCTTATGAGCTGACGCGTCGAACAATGGACGAAGGGGGGTAGTACTGTGCTCTTTAACTACAGGCCGATGTGGCAAATAATGACTGGGTTTATTTGTCTCAGATGCAGAAACTTTTTCAATAATTTTCTCGTCAAGCGACGCTTGAAAAACTTTATCATAATCGTCATACAAATTTTAAGCTTTTAACTTTTTGATACAGTTCGTTAAACGTTTTTGTGCGATATCAAAATTACTGGCTACAGGCGTGTGATCCTCCACCCACGGCAATTTAACCTCATATCGACCATTTGTATTTAGTCTAGCGGTTTTTAATAAAAAATCCCGTGTTTTCTCATCTTTTACGAATTTATCCAATTTTTCGATTGGATCTTTTATACCAATAATATCTAAAGACCACATGTCGCTTAGATTGGCCTCTTTTACAAACATTGTAGTGATCATCGTTGCCGTGTCAACACTGTCTCGTTTAGGTATCTTACCCATTAAAGTCCATCCTAAGAGCGTTTTAAACGCAATTAAACCATTATTAAAATCATGTTTTTTCCCGGTCAATAATTTACCCGCAACGTCTGCCCCAATGAGCACATATATTTCGTTGCTCGTTTTGTCTACATTACTTAAAATAATATTTTTCTTACGTAAAATATCAACATATTTTTGGAATTACCCTCCCTGGTTATTAAACACGTTAAGGTGCTTTTTCTTAACGCGAGGAACGGGCCGTGGACAAAGGAATAGGCCAATGAGACTCCGTTTGGGGGAAAGAAACTTCCTATTTTAACTTCGATCCCTTTGGACGAGATTTATTCACAGAGCGTGGTGTACCACGTGTTAAAGAAAAGAATACAAAGAAAAACAGTTTTTATACAAATGTCATTAAGAGGAGCGCGACGAGACGGTACGATGGAAAAAGCAAAAGTGTTTTGTGTTAATGCACCCCCACGGCGATCCAGGCATCCGGAAGTAGAGAAGCAACGGTCGTAATGATCACGTTGCAGTTCTGACCAATCAAAGACGTGGTCAGGCAAATCGGATGCCCCTGCGTGGTGGTCAAGCCGCGAGGCCTTGGCTCCCTCCAAACGATTCTCGAAACGTCTCGTCCTCTCAGAAGTAGCACAGATATTTGATCAATTAGGCTTCGCCTCTCCAGTCATAATAAGAGCTAAGATATTTCTTCAATCTCTCTGGTTGCACAATCTCGACTGGGACGACTCACTCTCGGAACAGCTCATTTCTCAATGGCTCAGCATCAGACAAGATCTCATTAGCCTGGCAAGGCTCTCTATCCCACGTTGGTTCAACACGCTCTCTAATTCAGCTGTTGAACTACATGGCTTCTCTGATGCATCGCAATTCGCAATCGCAGCTGTTGTGTATCTCGTTGTCAACTCGCCGTCCACTGGCGCCCAGGTCTCTCTCATTTGCTCAAGGACAAAGGTCTCCCCACTCAAGCGGCTAACCATCCCGAGGTTAGAACTCTCAGCAGCGCTGCTACTCTCCACGCTCATGAATCATGTTTGCGCTACTCTAAACGTGAACATAGCTCAGACAAATTTGTGGACGGACTCTCAAGTAACACTCATATGGATCAAGGCTCATCCATCAAGATGGAAGGATTACGTACRCAACMGCGTAATYAAAATTCAAGAACTCTCAAGGAACGCTCATTGGAGGTATGTGCCAGGCACATCAAACCCAGCTGACTATGCATCGCATTGGATATCCACAGATCAGCTGGAAAAGCACACTCTATGGTGGACGGGACCACCATGGATCACTCAATCAATGGACTCATGGCCGGCTCAGGTCGATACAGCTCCTGATGACTCATGTGCACAAGAAGCTCGTGCTCGTGTCGCACATCACGCGGTACGATCTTCCCCGAGTTATCAGTGGGATCTCATTCATCGATTCTCAACGCTAAATAGGTTGCAGCTCTCTGCAGTAGATTTATCAAGAGGCTTTTAGGAGAGCTTGACTCGGCACCAGCAGCCTGTATCTCAGCCCAAGGAATGGAAGACTCACGACTCTTTTGGGTCAAGGCTACTCAATCGGCATACTATCCAGAAGAAATCTCAGTGCTCTCAAGACAATCTCAACTGCCAAGCTCGCACCCACTCTCTAGGCTCACCGCATTCATTGATGCCAGCGGTGTGCTCAGGGTGGGCGGTCGCCTTTCAAAGTCCGAACTTATGTATGAGGCCAAACATCCAGCGATTCTTCCTCGTAACTCCAGGTTCTCAGTACTCGTCATCGCTCATGCTCACAAAAAGACGATGCATGGAGGCACTCAGTCGACTCTGGAACTCATCAAACAACTCTACTGGATCATCGGAGGAAGAGCTCCAGTAAAGTCATATGTTCTCAGGTGTGTGGTGTGTGCTTGTTACAGGGGGATCCGTGCTCAGCAACTGATGGGCCAACTACCTCTGGCGCGAGTCACCCCATCACGCTCGTTCTCTCACACAGGCATTGACTACGCTGGACCGCTCACGCTTAAGACCATGTGAATTACTCAGCGATGATCCAGAAGACACCTCAGTGCTCACACCAGGGCACTTTCTCATTGGAACGGCACTCAACGCTGTTCCTGAAGGCTCACTATTAGACATCTCAGCAAGTCGGCTCTCCAGATGGCAGTTCATCCAGCAAAGAGTTCAACAGTTCTGGCGCATGTGGTCAACTCAGTACTCACAGCAGTTACAAGCCATTTTAAAGTACCATCACGCTCACAACCACATTCAGGTAGGTTCACTTGTTCTCCTTACTGATGAGGGTTTGCACTGGGGTGCTCAAGTTGCTGCCAGGGGAGGATGGACTCACCAGGGTGGTATCACTGAAGACGGCTACCACAAAACTCACAAGGCCGATCGCCATGCTCGCAGTCCTTCCAGTAGCTCCTCAGAAGACAACGTATCTCATCATCAACCTCGTTGCTGATAGCGGGCAGAAATGTTTGGGATTTAATCCGTCCAATGAGAACTCGTGACAGTTGTCGCTCTGTGCGGACTCGCCATAACTCATCGCAGCAGTTAACAAATCATCGTGACGCCGGCTTCTCAATCAGTCATCTCTTCGCTGTTACATACGTAGCACATGTCTTCTCATTACATAACAAAAGTCATCTCTTTAGTACTCTTGATCTCATACAAACTACACGTGTCTTCTCAGGTCAACCATAAGTCTTCTCATTAAGTACAAGTTCGGTGTGATTAACATAATCATCATCGTTCGGCTCCTGACTGATAAATATAATCAGGCCTGCTCTAGTCTTCTCATTGTAACAACTTCAGTGTAAATATATGAAAAGGTGTTTGATCAACGTCTTCTCATTTGAATCTCACAACCGACACGCAGTGTACGCTAACTTTTAAATAAATCTGACCACTCAATGCAAATGCTCGGCGTTCTTATCAATTAAGACCACTCATTTCCCTAACAGTTATCCTAAAAATTATTTCTTAAWGCAGTCAAGCAATAAAAAAACAGTTAATTTCTGCAATAAGTACATACTTTTTTAAACATAATTAGTGTAATTTATTCAATTTTGTTTCATAGTTAATTATTGTATATTTRAAAAAAGGAAATATTTAAGAGTTTATTACATCGGGTTTTTGTAGACTAACAAATATTTCTAGGATGCAATTATTCTACAAACAAACTTTTGATTACTAACAAAATGTACAATTTTGATTTAACTATTATATTGTAATTTTATCGACATAAATAACAGGATTTTTTAAATATATATACAAGAATTTACCATCTTATTAGATATAAATTTCTGTTATCCTAAATTTTTTCTCTAATGCAGTCAAGAAACAAACAAACATTTTTTATCTGCGGAAAGAACATACATTTTTAAACATAATTAGTTTAATTTAATTGATTTCGTATCGCAGAAAATTTTATGTATGTAGGTAAATTTTATTTAGGTTTAAAGGGGCGAGGTTAACATACACCCAGATTAATCCTACTAATAAGATGTTTTTAAAACACGTATTAGAGAGTATCCTTTTGGGTCGCGCGCGAGTTAGAACGCGAGTGTAAACAAATCGTGATTCTAGAGAATGGTTCAGGGTATAAATTTAAAGTTCCACTGTAATATTTAATTCTATCTTATAAGTGATTAAATAACGCATTCAAACTGCTTTTGCAGTTTGAAATGCAAGAACAATCCAACAACATGGTTTCTGACAACAGGGGCCAATTATATAAAACTGCGTTTCAAAAAAATGCAGCATCATACGCTAATGTTACCTCTCAATACACCAGTCCAAAGAAAGAACAAGCAATAATACTTGACTCAATCGAAGGTTTTTCTAATGATGACTATATTGATGGTTTAGAGAATATTATAAATCCTCTGGAAATACGCTACATTTCTAAAATATCTGGCGCTCGTGTATGTATATTTTTATCCAGTGAAGCTTTAGTTGATACTCTTGTAAACAAAACTGTGCAAGTTAAAAACATGTAATTAAAAGTAAGACCGTTAATTGAAAAAAATAAAAGAGTAGTAATATCTAACGTTAATCCGGTCATTCCAAATTCAGTGTTACTCGAAGAACTTAAACATGCAGGCATCAATCCAGTATCAAACATACATAGCTTAAGAGCAGGATTAATAAAACCAGACAGAGCACACATTCTTTCGTTTAGACGACAGTGTTACATAAGAGAAGAAGAAGAAAGTTTATTACCAGAATCGCTTCAAATCAGCTTTGACAACGTTACGTATTGGATTTTCTTAAGCACAGATAAAACACATTGTTTTCTATGTAAACAAAGCGGCCATATAGCTAAGACGTGTAATAAATACAGTGAAGACGTAAGTATGAATACGAATAACAACAACGATACGTTAACAGCAGATAACTCAACGGACGCTTTGAAACCAAATAAACTTGTAAACACATTGAAAAGGCCACCTTCTKCTACTGTATYARAAGTAACTACAGAAAATCAAGTATTGTATGACACTGCTAAAAAACTCTTAGAGAAACCATCTGAGGAATGGTGCTTACCTAAGCCTAAGCCCAAAAAAACAAAAATAGGTTATGATAATAGGAATGACTCGCAGTCTGATATGTCGGATGTGGAATGTAATATAAATCATCAAGAGGCACTTTTACCAGCAAAATTAGCACTAGAAAATTCAAAAGAAGAATGTATTATTCCCTTTACAGAATTTGAAGAATTTTTCGTTGCTTCATATAGCGTTCATGACGTTATAGAAAGTACACTGAAAACTCAAGACGCCTAGCTGATATGATTGATAAAATTTATCCTCACGTTATACATCGAAATGCTAAATCAAGGCTTAGTAGAATTAAAAAAAAACTCTTAAGAATGTAAGTGCTGCCTTATACAATTTTGATATTAATTAAAATGGCTAAGTGGTGTGATAAAAATTTATAAATACTATACTGGAACTGTTACTCTATTTCTGAAAAAGAAGAAGAAGTACGTCACTTGCTTACTGACTTAGACATTCTAATATGTGTCGAAACATGGCTCACAAAAAACATCGAATTTCCTGGATTTAAAACATTCCAAAAAATAGGCTACATTCAAGAGGAGGAGGTATACTAATTTTAGTACGCAAAAACCTTGTATGCTATGAAATAAAAAATTTAAGAGTGCCGGACATAAGTGTTGAATTAATGGGAATAWGTAYTCAAAATGTTAAACCTGCCATTGATATATTTGCGTGTTATAGAGCCCCAGGTGGAATCTTATCTGAGTCACAGTGGGATACGGTTATTAATAATATAGATAATATTAAATTTACTCTCTTCGCGGGAGATTTTAATTCCCACCATATAATGTGGAATTGTCCAAAAAATGATTCTAATGGTGAAAATTTACTAGAAAGTATTAATAAATCTAATCTTTTATTACACAATACAGATACTATAACATACATTCGCGAACCAATTAACTATACATCCAATTTAGACCTCATTTTTTCTAGTATTAATCTAGCTGATAAATTACATGTACAGGTCAAAGATGAAACTTGCGGCTCCGATCACTTTCCTGTTAATATAGACATAAATATTCAAAAATCGATTCATAATAAAAAAAGTTTTAGACTTAAATCTATGAGAACTAATTGGACCCTATTTCTAGAAGTATTGGAATTAAAATATGTAAAGTTATTTACTGTAGAGTATGAAAACTCTAATGCAAGCTCAAAATATTCAACTTTCACTGATTTAATAGTTAATGCACTTTAAATAAGCACTCCAGAGAAAAAACTTGTCAATAATAATATACACAGAAATCCTGTTTCTTGGTGGGATCCAGAGTGTGAAAAAGCCTTAAGACTCA